ATTCTATCTAAAATAGTTAGAGAAATCTATAACAAAATTCATTTTTTTTCTGAATAAATGAAATAAATGTTTTATTATCATAAATTTAATTAACTATATTTAAATATTGAATAAAAGCCATTTTTGAAACCCCTCATTAGAAAAACATCAGATGCTTTTATCTTATTTAATCTTTTGAGAACCAAAATTATACTTTAGTGGGAAAAGTTTTTCCGACACCAGAACTGAAATATGTTCTTTGTAATTTATTGAGTCAGAGGATGCACTCCTTTTTTTTCTAAATCTTGAATATAAAAATAGTTCTAGGAAGATCATTAAAAAAATTAAAGAAGAATTTTTCAAACAATAGCAGTGCATTCACCCATCTGGTACTCGAGGTGGGAAGGCAATGACAGGGTAAAACTTATCTACTTTGTTGGTTTGAGAATTATTTCAAGAACAGGAGACAGCTGTGAGGCCATGCTCCACGGGACTCAGTCCTCCTAAGAACTCCAAGAGATGGGAGATTACTCTCTATGCATGATGGCATGCACTGTGATTTTGGACAATTCATAATCACCTTTAGGGATTGTAAGGGGAGAGCGCATAACTCCCAAACACCACCATTTTTTTATCCCGGACTTAGTTAAAAACAAACAATATCAACGATTTGTACTCCACATAGAAAATGATGAACCCTCCCAAAGCGGCTGTCTCTTACAACAGTCTAGCAGGAAAGTGGAGACACCATGAGACAGTGGTAAATTACCCTGACTGTCTGCCCAGAGGATCTTCACAAAACTGGCTGCTTCTCAGACTCTTTCATGATTTCAGCCCAATAACATGGTCTCACCAGTCCTTTTCTAACTACATCAGTGAAAGCAGCCCTCCCTTCACTTTTGCCCTGTCATAATCTTCAACAAAACTCATTGTTTTATTGCCTTCACAGCATTTATCCCTACTGTATAATATTCTCTTTCTTTTTTTGTATTGAAATACTTGATTGCTTAATTCTTCCTAATGAAATATAACATTTCTTGAGTTAGTGACCATCACTGGCCAAAGAACCATTGTCAAGCATGTGACAAATATGCATCAATATTGTCAGAGGCTGGGTATGGAATGTTGATCAAAGCCTTACTTCTGACTTCAAGTAGTATACAATGTAGTATGTAAAACCTATATTAATGTAGTTAGGTAAAATGTGTGTGTGTGTGTGTGTGTGTGTGTGTGTGTGTTCACAGTGGAGGATCATTAGACTAGTGCTTTATAAAGATGATTATGACTACTCTGTAAAGAATATCTATTTGGCAAAAGATAAAAATAGTGTGGGTCGACCATGTAAGAGGTTATGGCAGAAATGATGGAAGTTTGAATCCAGGTAGTACTGATCAGAAAGGAAATAACTAAATATATCGCAGAAATATCAAGAAATATAGTTGAAAAAACTCACTTCTGGATTGGATATGAAGGATAGATTTCACTTGCTTTAGTTGATGACATAATATTGCCCTTCTCTGAGGGAAAATATTGTAAGGAGACATTGTAAGGTGTTAAGATCGTGATCTTTGGCTTTGATAGGTTAGGAGATTTCATAATCAGCTTTCATGAATTTTGATTTTACATTTCTTGAATTTGTATGAACTATTTATCCATATACTACTCAATCTAACCATTTATTCTTTAAAATAATTTTGGTCATTATGTGGGATTCTGCTGTTTTGTTTTATGCAACATAATGCATAAAGCATTAAGTATTCCTAAATTCCAATTGGAGAATTTTCACTCTAGTTAAAATTTATTAGTTGATTGATGGCAGTTTTATCTGTAAGGAATGTGATATTAATAACTTGAAACCTAGTATCAAGACCATATGTCAAAAAGAAAAGATATTTATAATGTAACAGTATCTAAACTGGAATTATCAAAACCTGTTACATTTAATATAGACATCAATTCAAATAACCTTTCATAACATCATATTAGAACGATCACTGAGCATCACTAGGCATTTGGAGCTATGATACCTCTCTAATGTATTTAGCCTTCACTGTTGATTATCTACCCAACAGATAGTAAAGCCATGTAGGGGTGTTTTAACTAGGATTATGCTGATATCTGTATATGACAGATATTTTTTAAAGGCAGCACCAATATGTATTTTAATTCATTAGGAGAAATTATCCATAGTTAATCAGAAGACATTTTGTTTTCAGTTTCTCATCCTAATTCTGCAGAAACTCAAATCATGTTGAGTTCACTTTGATGTTACTTTCCAGAAAGATGCTTTATATCTCTGCAGGCTACACATATCAATCCTCACATTTACACACAATTTGTGTGTGTGTGTGTGTGTGTGTATAAACACATAATCATTCTAAAATGCTGAATAACTAATGTTCATGTTATGATTGATGTGAACTCATGTAAAATTCAACTACTTTAAATAACTTTCTGAAACAGCAATACTAGTCTAAACTAATATAAATGCCACTTTTTAACATGTTATAAATACTACAAATACACCCTCTTGCACTCTCCAAGAAATAATTTAAGAAATGTTATCTTTCTGAGTAAACAAAAGTAAATACCAATTTGTGAACCTATTTTAGGAAAGTCATCAAATCACCTAAACAAGCAAACTGTTCAAACACATACCGAGTGGTTAAGGAAACAAGAATTTGTTGATAATATATAAAGTGAAAACAAAACCTCCTACCATTTACCATTTTGTTTCATCGTATTAATCCTCTCACTTTAAGAAAACCAGCTTTAATCGTTGTGATTTACTTTTAGACTAAAACTAAGTGAAATATACACTCCAAATATTTAATCTGCCTCAATAAATATATAAAAAATACATATGCCAGCAATCACTGGAAAAACTGTAGAGTGTAAACAATGATATGGGCCAAAGTGACATTTCAATTCTTTCATTAAAAGGGAGGTAGCTCAATAGTAAAACACTTGTCTAGCATGTGTACTGCAGAACTAAAAAAAAAAAAAAATAGAGACAAAACTGCGAGATGCATTTCCCATTTGGAAAGAGTAAATGATCACTCAGTAGTGTCTATCAGTGCAAATGATTAGTCTGTCATAGTTTACCAGGATTCTGTGTTTGGGTAGCAACATGATTCTATTGACAATCAATTGTGCTCTGCTGGATGTTTAATGCAACATTAACCAAATGACTATAGTGACATCCATCTCTGAGTTCAGTATCCCAACACGTAAGCCTCACATCTTTCATTAAAAATATTTTCAAGCAGTATATAGAAACTTTTCAAGTGAAACTCATGAACTATTTTTCCCTACCCAATACTGAGAAACTAAGGAATATCATACTCAATATAGGGAATATACACTTTCAGAAAATTTATTCCAGTGGTTTTATTATTTTATTATTTCCCATTAATACAAAAAAGTCATATTATATAATTTGAAGTAAAATATATGAAGAAAAATTAAACATATTCACAATCCCAAATCCAGAAATGACCACTGCTAGCATTTTGACCTAGTTTCTTCCAATCTACTTTATCCATTTGTAATCAGTAATACAATTAAAATCATACCACATAGTTTTTATTATCTCACTTTTTTATTAATATTGTGTTATAATTCCCCATGTTGTTAAATATTATTTAAATCAAGAATTTTAAACTCTATACTACAAACCAATTGGTTAGATGTATGGTACTATATTTAATAGGTAATATATTTACCTCTGAAGAAGCATAGAGGCTTCTTCAGTTTTAAGGCATTATAACATAGAGCAGATACAAAAAGAGTCTAAATTAAATTTCTAGATAAAAATAATATAGATAATGAAGGGACTATTTTAGCTAAGTCACTGCATTTGGAGACTCATTACTTTAAAAAGGTGAACATCTCTAAAGGCAGGTTTTTAAATGTTCTCCATGTCGCTGGTGCCACTTGCTGTAATAGTGTTGAGGAAAATGCCTAAATTTCTGCAATGAGCAGCTTCTGTGATATTGTCTCAGAAATGAGATCTCAGGTAGGTTTTGTCTTCTTACAATAGGGAAGAATCCTCTGGAATAGCTGGCATGCTGAGCGTAAGGGTTCACGTCTGTAGCACCACAGCAGGAAGAGATCTTGATTGTCAGAATCAACTGTGAGTGCTGTATAAAATAGTTATCACCATGATGTTCATCGACTGGCAAAACAAGAATGATTAGCTGTGAAATGCTTATTCATAATGTAGGTTGCCTCTATGGTCAAAGTAAAATGGAGAAATAAATGAAACACTAGATAATTTAATAATCAATATCAAAAAACTTGATAAAGATTTAAAAATCCTTCTAATAAATAACTCCAAATTGTTTTTAAAAAACATTTCAAATATTGATTCTATTTAATATTTGGCAAATTCAACAAGACCGTTGGGTTTTAACTTTGGAGTATATGAACTGCATTATTATGTTCTTTTTATTCCACTTTGAATTGAGTTATTAAAGTTTCTAAAATCCAAAACAATCACGTTTTAAAAAATGAGAATAACATGTGCACTATTCAGTGTGTTAGAGTTCAAAGTGTCTGAAAAAGCCTGTATGCAAACCCACCAATTCAATCTACCTAGTAATTGGCACCATGCAGAGGCTAATCAAAATCTACAGTACGATTAAACAAGGCTATCTAGGACAGCAACTAGATAATGGTTACTCTGCTCCTGAAGGAATTAGAAAAACAAATTTAGAACCTTGCCTCTGGTTCCCAGTCTATTCCCCCTGAACAATTATACAAATTGGCATATGACTTTCCATCCCTCTTCAGTGATTGAATTAGGAGGAGTGCTTGTGTTCTCATTGATAGTTATTTGAAAGAGGGAAACAGCTGTGTGCAACATCCCCTTCCCTTGGATGCTTCCTAACAAAGACTCAGTGTCTCCAAGAAAGAAGTGTATGTTACCCTTATTGATTACATGACAGTTACTATGGGCTTTGCTTTGTTCACAAAGTAAGAAATACCCTCATCAGAAAAAAAAAAAAAAAAACAGAAACTCACCCACTAGAAGATAAATCTTTGTTTCTCACGTTTGAAAGCCCAGATTCAGAATGGAAAAAAGATTTAAACCACCAGGTGGATTCTGCCATTTCGGGTAATCCTATCAAATAAACTTTTAATTATTCCATTATCAAATGAATTTGAGAGATTAAAAGTAAAGGAAAACAATGAGGGTAACACTGATAAGAAATAAATTAAGTACCTTGAAGAGGCCTGTCGTCATCTATTAAATTAACAGAATCAGAGCTAGTTAAGGAACTAACTGAAGAAATACTGGACTCTAGGAAACAAAAATAAAAACAGAAATAAATAACAGGCAAAAAGACAATCACAGCATATCATGAATATATATGGATATATATATATATATATATATATAAAATTTATATTATTTTTTATCAAGAACATAGTTTGAAATCATTGTATCCTGATCATGAAATCACAAGTTGAAAAATTAATCAAATTCTCAACGAAAAAGTTTCTACTAATAAGGTCTATTAATTTTCATGGTGGACAACTCTCACTTTCCATTGATAGAGATTTTGAACTTAAAATATAACAAAGAAAACATTTGGCATTTGTTTTTTAGGGATTGGCTAGCTTCACTTAGAATAATCTGTTCTAATGCCATCCATTTCCCTGCAAATTCTATGATTTTGTCATTTTTTAATGCAGAGTAATACTCCATTGTGTATAACTGCCACATTTTTTTATCCATTCGTCTATTGAAGGGCATCTAGGTTGGTTCCACAGTCTTGCTATTGTGAATTGTGCTGCTATGAACATAGATGTAGCAGTGTCCCTGTAGCATGCTCTTTTTAGGTCTTTAGGGAATAGACCGAGAAGGGGAATAGCTGGGTCAAATGGTGGTTCCATTCCCAGCTTTCCAAGAAATCTCCATACTGCTTTCCAAATTGGCTGCACCAATTTTCAGTCCCACCAGCAATGTACAAGTGTACCCTTTCCCCCACATCCTCGCCAGCACTTGTTGTCGTTTGACTTCATAATGGCTGCCAATCTTACTGGAGTGAGATGGTATCTTAGGGTGGTTTTGATTTGCATTTCTCTGACTGCTAGAGATGCTAAGTGAAGCTAGCCAATCCCTAAAAAACAAATGCCAAATGTTTTCTTTGATATAAGGAGAGTAACTAAGAACAGAGTTGGGAGGAAGAGCATGAGAAGAAGATTAACATTAAACAGGGGTGAGAGGTGGGAGGGAAAAGGAAAGAGAAGGGAAATTGCACAGAAATGGAAGGAGATCCTCATGGTTATACAAAATTACATAGAAGAAGAAGTGAGGGGAAAGGGGAAAAAAACAAGAGGGATAAATGAATTACAGTAGATGGGGTAGAGAGAGAAGATGGGAGGGGAGGGGAGGGGAGGGGGGATAGTAGAGGATAGGAAAGGCAGCAGAATACAACAGACACTAGTATAGCAATATGTAAAACAGTGGATGTGCAACCGATGTGATGCTGCAATCTGTATATGGGGTAAAAATGGGAGTTCATAACCCACTTGAATCAAAGTGTGAAATATGATTTGTCAAGAACTATGTAATGTTTTGAACAACCAACAATAAAAATTAAAGAAAAAAAAACAAAAAAATAAAATATCTTATAAATGTCAAATTCAAAAGCTAAGAATTACAAAATCAAGAATGAATAGCATTGTATTACATAGTAAATATTACAGATATATATTTTTAAAATCCCCAAATTACCAAATTTAGAAAGTAAGAAATTATAAGAACATTTTGTTTGTCTTTTAACACTTATATTTTAAAGCAGTAAATCTATTAAAAGAGCAGACTATAAAAATAACTTCTGTTGATAAAGAAAGAAACACTCAGTAGACGGGCATAGTTCAAACATTTTTTGTAAAAACAATAAATCCTTAGATGTTTCTCATTCTTAAGCTATAAACAATCCTTGAAATGACTTTTTCATAGATTGCCTGCATAGATAATTTTACTAAATGTCAATTTGATTCTGAAATGCTCTTTTCATTTTATGAAATTTCTCAGACTTTTCAGGATGGTCAAATTTTCTTTTCAGCCATGAATATGTAGGATAGATAGCTAGATTAAAAAATGAGACTGGGTAGATAGATGCTGACCTGTCATCCACTGCAGGGAATGGAAAGTAGAAAATCTTTGAACCAGACTCATACTATTCCCTCTTTTCTAAGGAATTAGGTGATATTTTGTTCATGAAAAATTATTGATTTTTAATTAATAACATACTCTATGAAATCTCAATCAATACAGATGCCACTTTTTTTTTTGCTTTTTGATACTGGGGATTGAACTCAGGAGCACTTGACCACTGAGCCACATCCCCAGCTCTATTTGACATTTTATTTAGAGACAGGGTCTCACTGAGTTGCTTAGTGTCTCGCTTTTGCTGAGGCTGGCTTTGAACTCATGATCCTCCTGCCTCAGCCTCCTGAGCTGCTGGGATTACAGGCATGCACCTCTGTGCCTGTCCTACATACATGTCAAATTTAAAGTGGTATAAATGCCAAATTTAAAAAACTTAGGAAGTACAAAATCAAAAATGAACACTATTGTTCTAACTTAGAAATATTACAGATGCCTACTTTAAAATACTACAAAATTACCAAAATTAGAAAGTAAGAAGTTAAACTATACTCATGAAACAAAAGCTGACTTTCACTTGTTTGTAAGAGTTGGAGGCCTTATCAGTGTATCATGGCCAAAGCAAAGAAATGAGCCTGGGCAGCACTAGTTCCAGGAACCACCTATCTTCTGAAGCTGTTCCTTCACTGTCAGCAACACTGTCAGCTCCCTCCCTTAAGTTCTGACCATGAAGTACTGGCCAACAGCACCCCACAGTCACACTTCTCATCACATTCTCCGGGAATATTCTCTAGTGATAATACAACTTACTTCGGTAATACTGATTTTTGGCCAGAAGACATCCAATGGAAGGTACTGATGCCATGGTTTGTTGCTTGAGAGATCCAGAGGCTGAGAGCAGCAATCTGAGGAAAAATAACCAGAAAAGAGATGTTGATAAATAAATGGAGTTTCCTTTTCCCTTTTTACATGTGAATATTATGTTGCAAAGTAAAATCATTTACCATGTAATAAATATCTGAAGAAGGATTTTAATAATTTACCTGGAATTGCAATTAAATAGACTACAATAAACAAAACAAGATGCAATTAACTAGTATATTTAGTTGGAAAAAAAAAAAAACCCTTCATATTCAACTACAAATGGTGCAAACACAATTTACTCTGTCTGAAACAAACCAAAGGTTCAGAAAAATAATAAAAGTGTTAACACAGCCATGGTGCAATAACTCACATATTTGTTTTCTCCAAATTGATCTTCTAAAAATATGTAGTTTTTAAAGTTTCTTCAGAAAACGCACATTCTGAAAGCAGCACCACGGTGACAGATGATGTGGTCGAGAATCTGTGAGCAACCTTATATTTAGAAGCCCAAGCTGGCTGGTGCCTGAACTATTGGTAATTTGAGGTGAGGTGGCATACAGCCAGGCAAAGGCAATGACTGAATGCTCTCTGCCCGTCTCCGCCCTCCAGCAGTCCAAAGGACCTTTGGACTTGTCAGCATGCCAAGTTTCACTGCAAGGATAGGGAAGCATTTGGCCTTGACCCTGTTTGGGACTCACTCTCTTTAATGTCACATCTTTTAACTAACTTCTGATTCTCTGGAGGTAACTAATGTCCATGTATCTCTTCCACCGTGGGTATAATCACATACTCTACCAAAGGCACCAAGCTGGACAAAACTGGGGATGTGGTGGATTGTCTGCGGTCTAGCTGGGGAGACTGAACATACATATCCACAGGCATAATGAAGCAAGGCAGAGTCATAGGTCACAGGAGAACAATAAAGAACTCTTCAGATTTGGAGACTTTCGGGGAAAGGGGTATATACAGTGGAACTGGATAAATGGACAGATAGTTAGAATTCCAGAGGAAATGACAAGACAGAAATCATGGATAATGTAGGGAAATTTATGACATTGTATCATTATTTATTGAAGCAGAAACTTTTATTCGAATGTTAGAAATTTTCTTATGTCGAAAATTTTGCCATCTGATAGATCCATTTGATTGAAGGATCAAATCTTGGCTCCCCTTTATATTGAGGAGTAATCATTTCAATTACTGCTTCAAATTATTTGGTGTTCTTAGTTTTTCTCATGTAGTCTTTCTTAAATCAACTTTGGTAATGTATACATTGCTATAAAATCACTGATGGCGGCTACTTTTTCAAATGAATGCTAAACAATCATTGTAGTTTATCCATATGTTGTTTTTTTTTAATATTGACTATACAAACAGAAAAGGGGAAAATACTTCATTGTCTCATTTACATGTGGAATCTAAATAATATGTATATATGTAACAAACAAATGATTTATCAATAGTCAGAGAAGACGAGGACATTGGAAGATGTTGGCCAAAGCATAAAAGGTTGCAATTTTGTTTTGTAGAGTAAGAGTAGAAATCTAACATTGAACATGAACTATATAGTCAATACTACTGTAATGTATTCTGGAAATTTGCCATCAGAGTAGATTCCAGTGTCTTGTTTCTTTCTTTCTTTCACTCACACATATGTGTTTGTGCACACACACACAAAGGTGTTTTTTTTTTCAAATATCAATGTGAAAAGATTGATATGGTAATTTGCTTGACAGTAGTAATAATTTCAATACATACACGTATATCAAAACAGCACATCAGCCTCACACAGTGATACATGCCTGTAATACCTGAAAACTTGGAAGCCAAGGCACGAGGACTGCAATTTGGAGGTCAGCCTCTACAACTTAGCATAACCCTGTCTTAAAAATAAAATAATAAGGAAAATGAGCTTGAGGATGCAGTTCAGAGGTAAAGCTCCCCTGAGTTTAATCCCCAGTACCATACACACACACACACACAAAAAAAAAATCATGTAATATACCTTAAATGTATCTAAATGTGCATGTGTATATGTAATGAAAACAATAAACATATGTGAAAATGTTATGTAAAAATGTTACAGAATGTACATAAAATTAGATATAATATAAACAAATACTCCATCTGGATATGTTTATTTAGTTTCCTCTTCCATTTTTCCTGATTTCGCTACAGATTCAAATACTAAATTATATTTTTCAATTGAATATATGGTATTATCTTTTGTCTCTTGGTTCTCCCTGTCATTATTTTCTGTCTTACTTTTATTGTTCTTTTAAATACTTTAAAGTTGTTTTTATGGCCATCTATCCATCTATTTCAAAATATTCTGTCACAGCCTTTATGACTTTATTATTTTTTTTTTGTATTGGGTGTTAAATCCAGGCACATTGCCACTAAGCTACATCCCCATGCCTTTTATTATTATTTTTTTTAAGATTTTGAGATATAATCTCACTAAATTGCCGAGGCTCTCCTAGAACTTGTGATCCTCCTGTCTCAGCCTCCTGAGAATATGGGATTACAGGTGTGCACCATTGTTAGAATTGTTTAGGAATGCTTTACTTTATCCAAAGTTATAAAGATTCTTAGAGTTCTCTCAGATGATTTTTAAATCTACTACATTGTCATAGAAGAATGCGTGATTTTTATTTGTTCTTTGAAATAGTTTTTGGAACTAACTTTTGGTGCAGTTGGTAATTAACAAATTTTCTTCATTTACCACATTCTGTGTCCACTTGATTGTATTATTTCATTTTGTTAAAGGAATAATCCATATACTTACCAATGACTTATCACTTGCTCTACAAGTTTCAAGCATGAGTACATTATACAATTCTATAACTTTTTGTTTGCTTAATTTTAAGCTTTGATGTATACATAAAAATCATGATTAGAACACCTTCTGAATCGTTCCTTTTATCTTCCTTATTAGCACTAATTTTATTTTTGTGATGTTTTTCTACTCTAATGTTGTTGTTTTTTTATAAGTAGTAAAAAGTATATCTTTTGGCATCTCTTTGTTTTTAACTTGTTCTATTTGAGGAGTCACATAATTACCATTACATTTTGAATGTGTTTCTCTCACTGTATCTCTTTCTTTACATAAAGTCTGTTCATATTTTTGGGGATTACTCTCATATTTTTATTTCCTTCTGACATCTTATTCTCTGGTTTCCATATAACCACATCTTTCTTTTTACTTTATTAGCTTTTGTTAATGTATTTAATTAAAGGGTTTTTTATAGATCTTTATTTCTCTCCTCTTTGAGAAACAATATACAGTATTTTAGTATTGTTCTTTCAGTGGGCATTCTTATTTTATAATACCATAGGCCTTGGCTATGATTTAGTCTTAACTAACCTATTCATCATTCACACTGCTTTTGTCCTACTTATTTTTTATAAATCCAGTACTGTGCAAGAAATGTACATTCTATCCAATGTACATTCATCTTCTTTTTCATTCTGGAAATTCTTAGTTGCTTTACTTTAAATGTTTCTTTTCCCTGTACTAATTTGTTAGATCCACAACAATTCTTCATAAACATGTACCCACAGCGGCGAATGAAACAAACATGGATTTTTTTGTGCACATGTTTGCAGGTGAGCTGAAGGGACTCTCTTTCAGAGAACCCCTGTAGGTTAGCTGGAACTTGGCTGAACCAGACTAATTGGAGTCAGCTCTATATGCCCGTCATTTTGCTCTGAGAACAGCAAGCAAGCAAGAAAACCTATTGCATATTTTCTACCTGGGATTGCATTGAGACTCCCAGAGGAGTCATTGGTAATATGAAATGACATTTTAGTTCTGCATCTGAAACTATCACTTCATCCCATCCTCCACTGAACAGATCATAGATCTGAAGAAATCATATGCCTAAAGTCAACATTAATGAAGTAGGAAAGTGTGCTACTCCCAAGAAGGGCTGGGGGTAAGAGGAGAAATACATATTTGCTGAAAAATAATTTAATCTATGACACCCATCATGTCTCCCGTTTTTTGTCACTAGTTCTCAAATTAAATAGTTATTTGGGCTCTTTCTATATAATTCTGACATTTCCACCACATACATATGTGTAAATATGTTAAAATTGTATAAGAATATAAATTTAGATAGTCTAAATTTTGTCATTTGTACTGTATTCTGAATTAACCCTACAGTATTTCTTCCTGTTTGATATTTTTCTATGTCCAACCTAATATATATCATGTAGATTAATTTTTATTTTAGTGATACTATTTTTTAGTATTATTTCTCTTCATTTTTCTCTAAAGCCATCAATTCTAATTTTCTTGCCTTTTTACCATAATTATTTTATTTATTTCTCCATTCTCAATATGGTTATTGTGAAGTCTTGGATTAACTGCTCCACAAAGTTAGTTTCATAAATTTTATGTCACAACTGTTAATCTGTTGGCTGTCTTTCTTAGCATTAGATTTCTCTTACAAGTTTCAGACTGTTGGTTTTTAGGATCACTTTTGAGAATTAGACATAGGTATACTATTCTCCCTTTTTCTGCACCCCCTACCCCAATTCTCAATGCCTCCACCAGCTCTTGTGTCTAGTGGAATTGTCGTTTTCAGGCATCCTTCTCACCTGACCCTAGCTTTAATATTTTTCAGTTATAACACTACTCACGTTGCACTGAGTCATTTGTTTATTTCACATATTAGGTTACAAACTACTCAAAGATATAGACTCTTGTTTGCTTCTGCTTCAGCAATGCCTGCACAAAACACAGCATACATAGTCATTTATGTCTAAAAATGCAAAATAATCAAAACATTCTTTTTGTGGTCATAAGGATTACATTCTTGGCTAATAATGAAAATGTTGTAATAGAGCTTAGATTTCCTTGCTATATCTGACCTAATTTGATGAACTTTTACCTGATTACTGATTCACAGTGTTTTTATTTCTTTTTTTTTTACATCTGAGAACTTAAAATAATTACAATCGCATTTTCATTAAGCCTTTTGCCCTAGAATTAAT